CCACACCCTAGATCTCTTGCCATACATTTTGATAGATACAGGACTGAAACACTTTCTGAATAGTTTTGTTTTGAGCACAATTTTCCACCACTTCACCCTCTCCCTGCTCCACCAACCCCTGGAGAATTTGGCTTCCCTGATTAAAAGAGAACCAGGGGCTCCTACGCCCTCTGAAACACTGGCCCACCTGCGATTTTGCCCGGATACCACACAGCTAGAAAGAAGGCCGAGCCAAAATGCAGGGAGCCTACAGCCTCTGAACTGACAAGCCCTACACTTCATGCGCAAGGGTGCCACGCTGCGAGGGTGGCCTGCTTTGGAGCAGACCACCTTGCTCTTTGGGTAATTCTTCCCTCTCCTGCCTTCCTTGTCCCTGAGGAAAAGGCCAATTATAAACGACAATCATATTTTAAAAGAGAGAAAGAAGCAGCTTTAGTGGGCTCCCCCCCGCCCCATCCAGACATTTACCCTTCAGTGGAATTCTGCACCTGGGAAGCAAATGCTCAGTCTCTCTGCACAATTTTTCTTGCAAGGCTGGGCTGTGAAAAAACAGCTCCATGTATCAAGACTTCCCCATCCTTCCTACTGAGAGGCTCTCATGCTATTATAGCTGCTTCTCTTCTTCCGGAGCTTGAAATCACAGACTTGCAAGAATCTGTTACTGTAACTTCACAATAAAGGTGGAGTTAATACTCATAATCTGGGCGCTTGTCTGGACTACCTCAAAGGGCTGACATCAGTCCTGCAAGTCTGAAAGTACATCTTTCCCTCCTCACCTTTACAGTTCAAGAAAGGTGGGAACGGTCCCTTCTGAGACGTTCACCACGCCCCCATTCCTTCTGTGGGCTCAGCCACCGCTTATCTGACCGTTGCCTAGTCTGCGGCTGTTGCTGCTGCTTCTCTTGTCTCTCACAGGACATTCTCGCGGACCATTACAACAAATGATTAGGGTGTCTTTGTACCACAACAATATAGATAAGTCCTATCTCAGTAGAAAAAGGAAAAGGTGAACTCCTTATTTGGAGAAGATGGTAGGATGGTACTACTTTGCTCTGGTCTTCTTCCCAAATGGGAACAATGTAAATTAGTCTAAACCAGTGTTTCTCAACCTTGGCAGCTTGAAGATGTGCAGACTTCAACTCCAAGAATTCCCCT